GGAGGAGGAGGAGGAGGAGGAGGAGGGAGCAGGGAAGAGACGAAGAGGAGGGTTCGAGTACTGGATTTGAGGAGGGGGAGGAGGAGGAGGAGGAGGTGGAGGAGGAGGAGGAGGAGGAGGAGGAGGCTCTCGGACCTCGTCCACTCGGATCCCATCCGCTCGGACCCCATCCGCTCGGACCCCGCCCGCTCGCTCTGACCGGGGCTCCCCCGCTCTTCGGCCGACGCCGCGGCCGCCGCCGCTGCCTCCGCCGCCTCCGTGGATGGCCACATGCTGCGCGGCACGCTGGCGTGCCGCGCCCCCGCGGGCCTCGTGGCGCGGGCGCGCGCGTGGGGAGCCGAGCACCTGCTGGAACCCGCCCGCGAGATGACGCGCCGGCAGCTCGTGGTCGCCTCCGCGGTGGCCTCTGGACCTCAATCTCGTCCTCGACCTTGCGAGTAGACTACAGAATTTGCTTACCCCTACTCGAGCCTTGTCTTCCTCGTCCCCGTCGTCCTCGTCCTTCTCCTCCTCGTCTTCATCGTCCTTCTCGTCCTCGTCCCCAGCGCCGCGCAGAGCCTCGTCGCGAAGCTGGCCCAGACCTCCCTCGCGTCGAGGAGGGAACACGATGGGAGGCTTTTCCCTGTTTTGGACTTCCAGGGGCCCTCACTGGAGTTTTTTTTTGTTCCCTCTGGGCCATAACGCGCGTTATGCCCCCTTCCTCCTTCCCTCCCCCCCTCATAACATAACGCTCCCCCCTCAGTGCGTCCCGGGCACTGCCGCAGTGCGTCCGGCACCACTGTCTGGGCGGGAGGGTGGCGCTACGTTGTGCCCCTTCGCGCCCCCCCCCCCCCCCATAATGCCTGTCATGGCCGCGTCTTGCCCTGCAGCTACGCCTCTAGTCAACGAGCGGATCGCGCCCCAGAGGCCTCTCCCAGACAGTACGCGCACTGAGAAAGTGACCGAGGCGCTCAGGCCTTCCCAGTAGGCAGAAGCTAACAGGCCTAACACATAAGCGGACACTACTAGATATACTTACGTATACGCTGAACCAACCACGGCCAGACCCGTCGGCGGTGGCGGCGAAAGCCCCCAAATCAGAGGAGCATGAAGTATTGATATTGATAGCTTTCAAGAGTTCCAGGTTTTCCCGTCCTTCCGCGCGGGCTCCAGGGACGAATGGTCGAGCGCATTCCGTCGCGCAGGTTCTTCGCGTGATGTGAGCGGTGCATTTTCGCCCATCGGAGCGCCCTCGGAGATTCCAAGCGGCACTGTGTTCTGCTTGTGGGGAGTCCGCGGGTCGCAGCCGCCGTGGCGCGATCTTGGAGGTCACCCCTTCGAGTGTTCTGTCCGCGGGCGGCGCAGGGCGCGGTGCGCGCCGCGCCCAGTCGCGCGCGGCGCGGTGCGTGAACCAGCCGGTTGCGCTCGTCAGACCGCCCGGAAATCATTTCCGGAGTCTATCGAGCGTCTCAAAGAAAACGGCTTTTTTGTTTTGCGAAAGCGGCGCCGGAATGTTCCCTAATCGGAGCTTGCCTCTGCAGGGGTCCCAGCGGATTCCTATGGTCAGGCTCGGTTTGCCGCCGATTTTCGCCGCACGCCTGGGTGCCTGGGTGCCCGGGGGTGCCCGGGGGTGCCCGGGTGCCCAGGTGCCCGGGTGCCTGGGTGCCCGGGGGTGCCCGGGTGCCCGGGTGCCCGTGTGCCCGGGTGCTTGGGTGCCCAGGTGCCCAGGTGCCCAGGTACCCGGTAGCTCTATACTTTATACAGCCCTATAGCCCCATCGCTCTGTATCCCTATAGCCCTAATCGCCCTATAGCCTTATAGCCCAATAGCCCTATAGCCCTATAGCCCTACAGCCCCATAGCCCTATAGCCCTATAGCCCTATGGCCCTGTAGCCCTGTAGCCGTAGCCCCATAGCCCCATAGCCTTCTAGCCCTAGAGCCTTATAGCCCCATGCCCTAAAGCCTTAAAAAGATGATGATTGGGTTTCTCTCCGGTATCCTCTCAACGAGGAGTCTGGACATTTTCAATACATAGCTTTGAAGGGGTGGAATGCGCCCGCCGCGCAGGACATCTGAATAATTCTGTAATCCGGAATTTCCCAAAATGGACCCCGGAATTATTCAAAGTCGATTCCGGCAGTTTTCAGAATCGATTCCATGATTCCAAAATTGGCCGGACATTTTCATAAACGTTCCTGGATTTTGTCAGAGTCGCGCGCGATTTGCCTGGCCAGGTCTTTGGAGATCCGCCGAGGCGCGCAGTGCGCGGCGGCGGGCGACGGGGCGGTGCGCCGCCGCCCCCCCCCCCGCGTTCGGCAACGAGAAAAAGGATCAGCCAGGGCCATTCAACCCCCCAAGGGCGACTACTCGATTGCGCATTTGTGACCGACTAGCGGCGCCAGGCAGAGCAGACAATACCCGACGCAGAGTGTACCCCGCGCGACGGCTTAGAAATCCCGGAATCCCCGGAGCGTGCCAATAACAACTTGTGTCAATATGAACTTCTTGTCCTACAAAGAGAAGAGAAATCATTCGACGCCGTGCCTTCTTTCACGACGTCGTCTAACTCATGTGCCACAGGTCGCCACCGCCAAGCGGATGGCGCGAGTTCGGCAGCCCCCTCTGGCTGCTCGCCCCCCCCCCCCCCCCGTGCTCATTATTACAACGGAAAGCGTGCCCACCTTGGCGACGCCCGCGATGGCCGCCATCGGATTCGCCAGGCCCGTCGGGCTCCTCTGAAGCTCGAGGTTGGGCGTGTTCTTGACCGAGGCCACGTGGATCCGGCTGTCCGACTTCATGGGGGAGACTGCCACCGCGATGAAGCTAAGGGTGCTCATCGAGAAATTGCTCTTGAGGGCGCGCCACTGGGCATCCATGGGGTGCACGCGCCGGCTCTCCCTTCCGGCGCCATCGCGCGGATGTACATGTTGTCGTAGAAGTTCCCGCTACTTTCCCCGTCCTCGATGGCGTGATTCCCGAGCGCCCGCTGCCGCAGCCCCTGGGAGCCGTGGTCCATGGCCTTCACGTTCCCCTGCAAGGCATCAGCGATGTCGTGGCCGCGCGGAAGCTCCTCGTCGGCGTTGGCGGTCGCGGAGGCCGCCATCGAGAGCCCGGAGTCCACGTGGAACTTCGCAGCGGTCTGGCCAGCTGCCAAACGCATCTCGCTAAAGGCCCCGGGGAACGGGCACCTGTCTGCATCCCGTCTGGCTGGAAGGTGCTGCGCGCCCACTCGGCGATGATGGGGCTGGCCCTGCTTACCGTGCCGCGGGGCGCTTCCCGCAGGCCATCCAGTTCGAAACGCCCCATGTTAGTGAGCGGGCACACGAAAGTGGTAGTGCTCGGGGAGACTTGCAGCATCCTTTCCATGTTAGGCCGCACCCTAGCGGACATGTTCTCGATGGCCCTGCCGATGGTCTCCAGCCGGGAATCGTAGTCGCTGGCGTTGGGCATAATCCGGGTGATTTGGTCACACGCCTCCTCCGGGGTAGCCGTGGCTAGGCTGGTAGCATCGATCCTGAAGCAAACCGCGTTGGCATTCAGCTGCGCTGCCATCCGTATCGAGAGCCCGGAGTCCACGTTGAGCCTCACAGCGGTCAGGGCAGCTGCCAAACGCATCTGGCTGAAGGGCCCGGGGGGGACGGGCACCCCTCTGCATCCCGTCTGGCTGGTGGGTGCAGTGCGCCCATTCGGTGATGATGGGGCTAGTCCTGGTTACCATGCCGTGGGGCGCTCCCCGCAGGCCATCCACCTCGAGGCGCGCCATGTTCAGGAACGGGCCTGCGAACGTGGTAGAGCTCGGGGGGGGCCTGCAGCATTCTTTGCGTGTTAGGCAGAACCCTAGTGGACATGTTGTCGATGACCCTGCCAATGGTCTCCAGCCGGGAATCGTAGCCGCTGGCGTTAGGCGTAATCCGGGTGATCTGATCCCACGCCTCCTGCGAGGTAGCCGTGGCCAGGCTGGCAGCCTCGATTCTGAAGCGAGCCGCGCTGGCATTCCGCTGCCCGAGGGAAAGGAAGAGCGACCTCTCCCTATTCTTTGGAGCCGTGCGCCTGAGCATCTGAGCGGCCTTCAATCTGCCCGACCCCGGAGGCGGAAGCCAGACTCGCGGGAGAACTGCGCTACGATACGGTGCAACTCGACGCCGGAAGCGGAGGGGCTATCTTTGAAGAACTGGAACGTCTTTTGCTGGGTCTGGCCCAGGAACACCCACACATTCGCATCGACCCCCTTTGTCACGTTGCGGAAATCCTCCACGAACTCCTCGTCCTGCAGCGCCTCTGGCTCTGTCTCTGCCGCCGCCTTGACCTCTGCGTCCGCTTCAGCATTTGCCTCTGCCTCCAGCCGAGCCTCCGCCGCTGCTGCCGCCCTGAGCTCTACGAGATGCACAGTGCCCTCCTCGCTGCGGTGGGCCAGCTCCAGGTCGAAACGCTCGGAATCGAAGCTCTTGTAGGCCTCCTCGACCATGCGGAGCGCCTTCTGGATGGCCCGATTGACATTACCTCTCCCACGCTCTTCCTGCAGCTGCCCACCTCCGGGTCCACCGTCGAGAATTTGCGCAGGTCCCAGCAAGGGACCTTCGCCACGACGTAGTCGAGGCTCGGCTCAAGGCAGGCTGCGGTGCACCTGGTGACGCTCTTGCGCAGGTCCAGGTCGCCGCCCAGCGCCAACTTCGCGGCGACGTATGCGAGCGGGTACCCGGTGGCCTTCGATGCCAGCGCGCTGCTCCGCGACAGGCGCGCGTTGGCCTCGACGATGCGGACCTCTTGGCTGTGCGGGTCCACCGCGTGCTGGATGTTGCACTCCCCCACTGCGCCCAGGTGGCGCATCACCTTCAAGGCGCCCTCACGCAGCCGGAAGTGCTCGGCATTCGTGAGCGTCTGCGAGGGGGCGATGACGATCGAGTCGTCTGTGTGGACGCCCATCGAGTCGAAGTTCTTCATATTGCATACCGTGATGCCGTTGTTGTTCGCGTCGCGCACAACATCGTACTCGAGCTCCTTCCAGCCCTTCAAGCTCTTGTCAGCGATGACCTGTGAGCTGTTCGCCAGGGCCGCCTGCGCCAGGCGCCGCAGCTCGCCCTCGTCCGCCGCGACGCCGCTGCCGAGGCCCCCGAGGGCGAAGGCGGCCCGGGCCAGCACCGGGCAGCCGACCGTCGCCGCGACCTCCGCGGCCTCGCCCGCGGTCGTGCAGCAGGCGCTCTCGGCCACCTTGTAGCCGCAGTGATCCACCGCACGCCGTACATGGACAGCACGCCCTCCTCGCCGCAGTTGAGCGCCGTCTGGCCGCCGACGGAGCACAGGATGCCATCAGGGCGCTGGGGCACGTCCGGCTGCTTCTGCACCGTGGTGACCATCGGCGCCTGCACGTGCTTCTGGACGGGCACATCCACGACCCTGTCTACGACCTCCACCTGGGGGACGTCCACGAACTTCTGGGCCACGCAGACCTTCGCCACGTGCCTGTGCTTCTGCACGGGCACGTGACCGTGGTGGTCGACGTACTCCACCTGGGGCACCTCCACCGTCTTCTGCACGACGCAGACCATGGGGACCTGGACCCGTCGCTCCACGGGGACCTCCACGATATCGTCCTGGTACTTTACCTGCGGCACGTCCACGTGCTTCTGCACCTTGGACGCCACTGGCACGGGCACCTGCCTCTGCACGGGCACCTCTACGACCCTCTCGATGATCTCCGCATGCGGGACACCCACGTGCTTCTGCACCTTGGTGATCATCGGCGCATGAACGTGCTTTTGCACTTGTGCCTCCACGCTTTTGTCGATGATCTCGACCTGCGGCACGTCCACGTGCTTCTGGAGCGTGGGGACCATGGGCAAGTGGCGCTGCTTCTGCACCAGTATGTGGATGTGGTGGTCCACGTACTCGATCTGGGGAACCTCCACTGTCTTCTGAACCACGGTGATCTGGGGCACCTGCACCTGCTTCTGGACTGGCGCCTCGACGACCTCCTCGATTATCTCCATCTGCGGCACGTCCACGTGCTTTTGCACGGTGCTGACCATGGGTACATGGCGGTGCTTTTGCACCGGGACGTGCACGTGGTGGTCGACATGCTCGATCTGGGGCGCCTCCGCTATCTTCTCCTGCTTGATGATTGTGGGCGCACGTCGCTGCTTCGTAACAGGGATGTCCACAACTTCGTCAACAAGCTGGACTTACGGCACGTCCACCTCCCCTTGGGCCACCTCTGAATAAGGACCAACTCGCGCATGATCTTGGGCCCCCGCTTGACCTGCTCCTGGACGATGGGCTTCTTCCTCTGCACGATGGTCTGGATGATCTCCGGCTGCACCACCTCCCTGGTCTGCAGACTGTTGACCTTCTCCTCGGTCTGGATCTTGGGGATCCCGATCGTCTTCTTTATGACTTGCGGGTGTGGCACCTCCACGGTGAGCTCCACTGGGTTCTGGACGATCTTTTCCTGGGTCTGGGTCACGGGCACGTGCACGATCTCCTCCACCTGCTGCTCTATCAGTACGTCGACGATCTGGTCCACGTGCTCGTGGTGCAGGCGCTCCTGCTGCACTACCGTCGGCGCGTGCACGATCTCCTCCTGGGTCATCGGGACTGGCACCTGCATCTCCTGCCAGACCTGCTGGTGGATGATCCTCTTCTGCCGGATCACCTTGGGCACGTGGACCCCCTCCTCCTGCGTCATGGAGGCTGCAGCCTCGACGTCCTGCTCGGCCGTTTGCTGGATGACCCGCTCCCGCGGGGTCACTTTTCGGGCGAAGAGAACTATGCACATGCACCGATCCTGGCAAGGCCCATCCTTGACCCAGGATCGGTGCATATGCCTTCCTGGCCAAGGTAGGAGGGCGTATGCACCGATCCTGGGCTCAGGATGGGCCTGGCCAGAATCGGTGTATGTGCATAGTTCTTTTTTCTCTAACTTTGGGCACGCGGATGATCTCCTCGCGCTGGTGGGGCACGCGGATGTCGACGATCTGCTCCGCCTCCACGTGATGGTGTCGGTGGTGGTTCACGACGGTCGGCACCCCGACGATCTCCTCCTGGGCCATCGGGGTCGGCACCTCGCGGGTCGCCTCCACCTCCCCCTCCTCCTCCTCCTCCTCCTCCTCCTCCTCCTCCTCCTCCTCCTCCTCCATCGCTCCTCCTCCCGCCTCTTCCTCGCTCCCTCGCTCGGTACGTGCACGATCTCTTCCTGCGTCATCGCGACAGGCACTTTGATCGTCTGCTCGACCATTCGCTGCACGAGGCGCTCCTGGGGGGATCACCTTGGGCACGTGGACGATCTCCTCCCCGGTCGTCGGGATGGCCACCTCGACGAATTGCTCCGCCATCTCGTGCACCACGCGCTCCTGCTGGAGCACATTCTGCACGTGGACGATCTCCTCACGCGCCTGCTCCACGGGGACATCGACGATCTGCTCAACGCTGACGTGGTGGTGGCGGTGATGGTTCACGACTGTCTGGACCTGGACGATCTCCTCTTGTGTCATGGGCAGGGACACCTCTACCGTCACGTCGACCATCTGCTGGATCACCCTCCTCTGAGGACTGATCTTCGGCACCCGGACGATCTCCTCCCGCTCCAGTGGGACATGGACGTCCACAATTTGCTCCACCTCAATATGATGATGGCGGGCCTGGTTGACAACCGTCGGCTCTTGGACGATCTCCTCCACGATCTGTGGCACGGGCGCCATCATCGGCGCCGTAGTCGATGCCGTCGTTGGACCGCCCAGGTGCTCGTCGTCGGTGCGGTCGCTCGGACCCCCCATGGCGCCAGACACCGAGAAACTTGTAGCCCACCCCCCATACTCGCCCTCCACATTCGCCCCGTGCTTTGCTGCCCCCCCCTCCGTTCTTTTCTCGATCGCCCTGGACTTGTGCGTTGCAGGCGCGAGGCCCCAGCCGTTGGTGAGGCCGAGGGCGCTTTTCTTCTCCATCAGCTCGGCGCAGCCAGGGGTGTCGGCAGGGTTGTCGGCGCCGCCGCCTGCGCAGCTGTCGGTGCCGCTGTCGGCATGGTCGTCGGCGCAGCTGTCGGCAAAATCGTCAGTGCCGCAGTCGGCGCGGCTGTCAGTGCCGTAGTCCGCGCAGCCCTCGGAACAGCTGTCGGCGAAGCTGCGGGTGCCGTCGTCGGCGCAGCCGCCAGTGCTGCGGTCGGCGCAGCGGTCGGCGAGGTTGTCAGTGCGCCCGTCGGCACCGCAGTCGGCGTGGCTGTCGAGGAAGCGGGGCTCGACGACGCACTCTGGGCTGTCGTGGGTGCCCTTGCTGGACTGCGGTCTCTCGACCACGCCCCTCAGGCCGTGCCAGATGCTCGTCACACAGTCCGCCAGCGCAGCCCGGAAACTCCCGGTCGCTTTCGGGCCGTTGTTCAGGCCGAGCCAACCGTCCAAGATGTCCTCCACGGGCACACCACTCTGGATCCACTCCACGGGCACGCCCTCGAGGCTCGTCTTCTCGGGGCTGCCGACCGCGCTGCCATGGGCGATACCGGCCTCTGTGAAGGTGGACGCTGTGCCGCCCCTGATGATCCGCGTGCCCGCCTCGGCGTCAGAGGTAGCGATGATGCTGGCGTCGGAGCTGGCGTCGGTGCTGGCGCAAGCGCTGGCGTTGGTGCCGCCGTGAACGCAGGCGTTGGCGTCGGCCTCCTCAGCCTCCTCAGACTCCTCTGGCGTGTTCGCCTCCTCCTGCTTCGCCATCTCCTGCTCCTCCTCCTCCTCCTCCTCCTCCTCCTCCTCCTCCTCCTCCTCCTCCTCCTCCTCCTCAGGGCCGCCAGAGGGGCCTCTGAGGCCGCCGCCGGGGCCGCGGGGGCCGCCGCGAGCGCCGCCGAGGCCCCCCGAGGCCTTTCTGCCACTGAGCCCCGTTGCGTGGCAAACTGCTCCGTGGCCGCCAGAGGGGCTTCCGCCGCCACCGAGGCCGCGGGGGCCGCCACAAGCGCCGCCGAGTCCCCCCGAGGCCATTCTGCCACGGAGTCTCGTTGCGTGGCGACATGCTCCGCGGCCGCCAGAGGGGCTTCTGAGGCCGCCGCCGAGGCCGTGGAGGAGGCACGACTGGCATACCTGCCGAGTTGCTACCCGTTGGTCGAGCTGTTGCTCTGCGCACACTGTTCGATTTGGCCGTGCCTCATCCTGCTCAGCCTTGGCCTCGCGGCCAGCGTCGGTGTGGGGGATGGGCATCCGAGCTGGCCTCAGTGGAAGCGTCGGAGCTGGCATCGGAGCTGGCGTCGGTGCTTGTGCAGGCGCTTGCGTTGGCGCCGCCGTAGGCGCAGACGTTGGTGCCGGCTTCCTCAGCCTCCTCAGCTTCCTCAGCGTCCTCAGCCTCCTCTGGCAACCTCGCCTCATCCTCCTCAGCCTTAGCCATGAGGCCCGCGTACGCGTAGACCTTGGCATCCGATCTGGCGTCAGCGGCAGCGTGAGTGCCGGCGTCGGGGCGTTGGCGCTCGGGCAGGCGTCGGCGTTGGTGCCAGCGTAGGCGCAGGCGCTGGCATCTTCAGTCTCCTGGGTCTCCTCGTCCTCGTCTGGCGTCTTCGCCTCCTCCTTCTCCTCCCTTTTGGGGCCGGCGTAGGCGCAGGCGGTGGCGTCCAAGCTGGCGTCAGCGGTAGTGATGATGCAGGCGTCGGAGCTGGCGTCGGTGCTGGTGGGTGCGCAGGCGTTGGTGCCGACGCGGGCGTCGGCGTTGGTGCCAGCGTCCTCCGCCTCCTCAAGCTCCTCTTTGATGTTCGCCCCGACTGCCAACTCCTGTCATCTCCGCCAACTCCTTCGCCACCTTGGGAACCTGCCCGATAGTCTCCTGGATGACGGGCGTCTTTCGTTGCACAAGCCTCTGGACAATCTTCGGCTCGATCACCTCGACGGTCCGACGGTCTGCACACGCGACGGTGTCCGCGATGTTATCGGTGACCGGCACCTGGATGAACTCCTCCTGGGTCACGGGTACGGGCACCTCCACCACCTGCTCCACGCTCCGATTCTGGATTCTCTCCTGCTGGAGCACCTTCGGGACGTGCGCGATCTCCTCGCGCTCGTGCGGGACGTGGACGTCGACGACCTGTTCCACCTCCACGTGGTGGTGGCGCGTGTGGTGCACAACGGCGGGCACCTGGACGACGACTTCCTCATGGGTCATGTGGAGGGGCACCTCCACGACGGTCTCCACGTGCTGGTGGTTGACGCGCTCCTGGGGGATGACCTTGGGCACGTGGCTGATCTCCTCCCGCTCGTGGGGCACCTGGATGTCCACACTCTGCTCGCCGTCGATGTAGCGGTGGCGGGACTGCTGCAGGATCTTGGGCACGTGGACGAGCTCCTCCTGCGTGCACAGGACAGGCCCCTCCGCGACTTTATCGACGTTCTGCGGCAGACCCCTCTCCTGCTGGATGATCTTCGGCACGTGGATGATTTCCTCCTGGTGACGCGGCACGTGGATGTCCACGATCTGTTCCACTTCGACGTGCACGATGCGCGGCTGCTGGATCACACTCGGGACTTGGTCGATCCCCTCCTCCACCGTCACGAGAGGCACCTCCGTGATGATCTCGACCGGCTGCTGGAGGAGGCGTTTCTGCGGCACGACCTTGGGCACGTGCACGATCTCCTCCTGCTGCATGGGGGCCTGGACGTCCAGGTGGACCTCGACCTCGCGGAGGTGATGGCGGTGCTGGTCCACGACGGTGGGCACATGGGCGATCTCCTCAATAACCTGCGGGACGGGCACGTCCGCGATCTGCCGCACCGAGAGGTTCTGCACGCACTCTTGCGCGGTGATCTTCGGCACCTCCACGATCTGCTCCACGACCTGCTCCACTATCTCCAGGATCGCCTGGGGTACCTCCTGGATGATCTCCACGGTCTGCACCTCCGGGATCTCCTGGATGATCTCCTCTGCGATCTGCGGGATCTCCGCCACCTTCCTCGGCACCTGCCTGGCCTCGACCCGCTCCGTGCGCGCGGCCACGACCTCCAGCGCCATGCCGTGCTCGGCGGTGGGCCCTGGGACGTACATGGCCTGACCCAGCTCGCAAGCGACGGTGGTGGTGGGCTGCACCTCAATCACCAGGCCGCTGGCGCGGTCCTGGAAGACCGACGCCTGCATGGGGACCTGCATCAAGGTGCCCGGCATGACGTTGGCGGGCAGCGCCTGCGGCAACGGTGGTATTGTGGTGCCGCCGACGGCCCAGTTGTCGTCGCCGCCTTCGGCGCAGCCGTCGGTCCTGTTGTCGGCGCAGCTGTCGGTGTCACTGTCGGCGTGGCCGTCAGCGCCGCCGTCGGGGCAGCTGTCGGTGCTGTCGTCGGCGTAGCTATCAGCGTCGCCAAGCGCCTGCGTCTCCTCCCCAGGGCTGGCGTGGCCGGAACCGAGGCCAGATGACTCTACGCAGAGACTGTAGAAGACGATCTCGGTCCCGCCGAAGAAGGATGCCCTGGGGGTTGTGGCCACGCGACGTCCTCTTCCTCCTTCCTCCTCTCTCGCGAGTGGTGCGCTGCATCCCAGCAAGCTCTCGCAATGCTGCATCTCAGCGGCGCTGTCCGCCCAGCTGTCGGCGCCGCCGTCGGCGCTGTCATCGGAGATGCAGTGGGAGCTGTCGTCGGTGCCGCCGTCGGCGTCGCCTTCGGGGCTGCGGTCTGCGCTGTCGATGGCGCCGTCGTCGATGCTGCAATCGACATCGTGGTCGGCTCTGCAATCGGCGCCGTCGCCAGAGCTGCAGCGGGAACCGCCGTCGGTGCTGCAGTCGGCGTCGTCATCGGGGCTGTAGTAGGTGCAGTCGTCGGCGCCGTCGTCGGGGCTCCAGTGGGAACCGTCGTCGGTGTTGCTGTCGGCGTCGTCGTCGGGGTTGCAGTCGGTGCTGCCGTCGGCGCCGTCGTCGGTGCTGAAGTGGGAACCGTCGTCGGTGCTGCAGTCGGCGTCGTCGTCGGCGACATCGTCGGGGCTGCAGTGGGAACCATCGTCACCGCTGCGGTCGGCGTTGTCGTCTGCGCTGCAGTCGGCACTGTCGTCGGAGCCGTCGTCGTGGCTGCAGTGGGAACCGTCGTCGGTGCTGCCGTCGACGTCGTCGTCTGCGCTGCAGCCGCCCTCGACTCTGCTGTCGGCGCCGCTGTCGGCCCGGCCGTCAGCGCTTCTGTCGACGCAGCTGTCGGTGACCCTCTCGGCGAAGCTGCCACTGCCGCCCTCGGCGCAAGTGTCGGTGCCGCTGTCGGCCTAGCTGCTGTCAGTGCCGCTGTCGGCACGGCTGTCCGTGATGCCTTCCGCGCAGCCGTCGGCGCCGCTGCCGGCCGGGCTGTCCGTACCGCCGTCGGAGCAGCTTCCAGCGGCGATGTTGGCGCAGCTATCGGCGCCGCTGCCGACGCAGCTGTCAGTGCCGTCGTCGGCCCAGCTGTCGGTGCCGCCGACGGCCCAGCTGTCGGCGCCGCCTTCGGCGCAGCCATCGGTGCCGTTGTCGGCGCAGCTGTCCGTGCCGCCTTCGGCGCAGCTGTCGGTGCCGCTGTCGGCGCAGCTGTCACTGCCGCTGTCGGCGCAGCTGTCAGTGCCGTCTTCGGCGCAACTGTCAACGCCGCTGCCTGCGCAGCTGTCGGTGCTGCCCCTTGTGTAGCTGTTGGTGCCGCTATCAGGGCAGCTGTCGGCGCCGTCCTCGGCATGGCTGCAGGTGCCGCTGTCGTCCCAACTGTCGGTGCGGCCGTCAGCGCAGCTGTCGGTGCCGCTTTCGGCACGGCTGTCCGTGCCGCCTTCGGTGCAGCTGTCCGTACCGACGTCGGCCCAGCTGTCGATGCCACCGACGGCCCAGCTGTCGGCGGCGCCTTCGGCGCAGCCGTTGGTGCCGTTGTGCTGTCGCCGTCGGCGTAGCTGTCGGCGCCGCCGTCGGGGCAGCTGTCGGTGCTGTCGTCAGCGTAGCTATCAGCGCCGCACGTGTCGCAGCTGTCCGCGCCGCTGTCGGCGCAGCGGCTGACGACGCCGCAGCCTGCGCAGCGGCCATTGACGCAGTCGGGACAGCTGATGCCGCGGCCAGTGCCGCTCCTCCTCCGCCGCCTCCTCGCCCTCATCTCGGAGAGCCCGTCCACGAGCCGCTTGTTGCCGGCCGCCGTGATCGAGACCTCCGCCAGGCCGCGCGCCCTTTCCCGGCAGGTGACGAGCAGGGCCACCATCGCGTCAATGACGAACTTGGTAATGGAAGCGCTGATCCAGCATACGAGGGCCCCCGCGCAAAGGAGCTCGAGGTGCCAATTCTGTTCGTTCCCCAGGATCTGCACGTAGCCCCGCGTCTCCCGGCAGGCAACGAGTAGGGCCTCCATCGCGCCAGCGGCGAGCTCAGTTATGGAGTCGACGATCCAGCACGCGAGATACATCGCGCAGAGGAGCCCGAGGTGCCAATTCTGCTCGTTCCACTGTCTCTGCCTGCAGCCGCGCGACACCATGTGGAAGCCCGCCACGACAAGAAAGGCCGCAATGCCCCCCTGAGGGATGTATGACCCGAGCCACATGGCCATCGCGTCGGCGCAGCAGTCGATGCTGCTGTCGGAGAAGCTATCGGCGCCGCTGTCGGCGCGCGGCTGCTGGTGCCGCCTTCGGCGCAGCTGTCGGTGCCGCCGTCGGCGCAACTGACGGTGCCGCCGTCGGCGCCGCCCTCGACGCCGCCGGCAGGGCAGGTGTCGATACTGCCGTCGGCGCATCTGTCAGCGCCGCCGTCAGGGCAGCTGTCGGTGCCGTCTTCGGCCCAGCTGCCAGTGCCGCTGTCGGCGCAACTGTCGGTGTCGCCGTCCGCGCAGCCGTCGGTGCCGTCCTTGGCGCAGCTGTCGCTGCCGCTGTTGGCGCAGCTGTCGGTGCGTCGGCGCCGCTGTCGGCGCAGCTGTCGGCGACGTCTTCGACGCAGCTGTCGGAGCCGCTGTCGGCGCAGCTGTCACTGCCGTCCTCGGCGCAGCTGCCGGCGCCGCCGCCAGGGCAGCTGTCGGTGCTGCCATCGGCGTAGCTGTCGGTGCCGCCGTCAACGCAGCTGTCGGTGCCGTCTTCGGCACAGCTGCCAGTGCCGCGGTCGGCGGAGCTGTCAGCGCCGCCGTCGGTGCAGCTGTCGGGGCCGCTGCCAGCGCAGGCGTCGGCGAGACGGTCGGTGAAGCTGTCGGCGCACCCGTCGGCCCAACCGCTGAGGGTGCGCTGAGGGTGAGGGCTGCAGCCTCACCCCCCAGCCTGCCGTCATATGCCAGCCAAGCTTTCTCCGCCCGCATGGCCTTCACCCCCCGCTCGCACTCCTCCTTCAGCCCGCTGAGAGGTCCAGCCGGCCTGCCGGCCCTCTCCCAGCCAGACAGGAGCCATCCTACTCGCTCCTGGGAGGCTTCCCGCATCTCGCCTGCCACCTGGGCCTCCAGGGCAGCCTGGGCCCGAGCAGCCGCTATGGCCCTCGCCACTGCCCTCGCCGCCCCGTTGTCGACGGGGCCGCGGCGGGGGAGGCCCCATCGGGCTCTAGCCATCTCCGCTGAGACCCGCGCCAAGACCTCGTTGGGCGCATCGATCTCCTCTGCCGGGCCTTGGGCCCACATCCCTGCGCTGTGGCCCCGCCCGTCCACCTCTAAACGGACTGGGCCTCGCTGAGGCCGAAACTTGAGGCACATGGACACGGAGGAGAAGAGAGACGAGGGAGAGCAGGACAGGGAAGAGACAGAGAAAGAGAGGCTGCGCCAGCGATGCAGAACCGAATGTTCTGCTACCAATTCTGCCGAACGGCCAAGAAGGAACCAAACCGGTCCCCTGGAAGGGGCCCAGACCTCTGGGGGCCTTGGTTGTGAGCAAACCATGACGTCGGACGTCTGGCCTCCTGGGGCCCTCCGCGGGCCCCATGGGCTCGCCGAAGGCAAGGCAGGGCGAGAGGCTGGCCATCGGGCTCCTCCTCCTCCTCCTCCTCCTCCTCCTCCTCCTCCTCCTCCTCCTCCTCGTGGCCCCGCTCGCTTCGGGTGAGCGGCCCAGGCCTCGGGAGCTCCCGGCGGCTCTTCCCTGGCGTTCGGTTCCGTGGGCATGGTTTCTTCGGGCCCCTGGGGCCGTCGAGAGTCCTTGAGATCCTGGATCCCGGCGTCTCCATTTTTCCGAGCCTGCCGTGGTCGCTCCATATCGGGCCTCGTCGTCGTCGTCGGCGTCGGCGTCGGCGTCGTCGGCGTCGTCCTCGTCCTCGTCCTCGTCCTCATCCTTATCATCCTCGTCGTCGTTCTTCCCCCTCGTTCGTCGTCGTCGTCGTCTTCGTCGTCGTCTTCCTCCTCCTCCTCCTCCTCCTCCTCCTCCTCCTCCTCCTCCTCCTCCTCTGTCGTCCTCCGTCGTCTTCGTACTCGTCCTCGTCCCTGAGATCCTGGCGTCTCCATTTTTACGAGCAGGGCGATTTCTGGCTCGAAGAACTGCGCAGAAAGACGGGGTCCGGGGCTCTGGTCGTGATTTTTTCACGCTGTTGCAATCGTTTCGCGTCGTTGGATCTCAGGGGGTGGACGTCGGACCCAGAGAGCTACTTCCTTTGCTCCAAGATTTCCAGGGGTTCCAGGGAGAGTTCCGAAGCTTCCACACGGGCCGCAGAAACGAGGGCCGCCAGATCCTCTCCTGGAAATCCTGGAGCGCGTTCTAAGCAAGTCTTCTCATGACATTATCCTCGTCCTATTTTCGAAGGCGCCGAGGCCTCCAGGGCCGCCGGGCTGAACAGCATCAGTGAGTAGGGGATCGACTACAGAATTGACTACCTCCAGATTGAGGAGTTTGCCGAATCCACGAAAAGTGCGTTTCATGCTCGTACACCTTAGGCGATGCTTAAGAAAACTCAAGTTTTCGGCCAGAGTCTCGATTATTCTTAATGTTTCAATGTAAGTCCTAAGATTTTAATAGACATGTTTGGTTTTTTATTGAAGTTCTCAGACTAGGAATTTCTTAACCCATGATTTCTTCAGCATTTCGCAGGGTGTAGGTCTTACGACGAGGAAAAACGAGTATGGGGCAGACCAATTCTGTGGACGATCCCCTACTCGAAGCAGGCACGCCGCGGGAGGCCCGGGGTCTTCGGGGGCCGCTCCCTGGACCTGGCTTGGCCAGCTCCGCGCCGACGCCAGGGGTGGCCTCCAGGAGGGGCCCTTTCGGGGGAGGTGCCCCTCCCTGGGGGGGGGGGGGGGGGGCTGCTGAGCCTCTCTCCTCCTCCTCCTCCTCCTCCTCCTCCTCCTCCTCCTCCTCCTCCTCCTCCTCCTGCTTCCCTCTCCTCCTGCTTCCTCCTCGTCCTCCTCCTCCTCCTCCTCCTCCTCCTCCTCCTCCTCCTCCTCCTCCCCCCACCACCTACTCCCGACATGAAGCGCGGAGCTTGTTGCGTTCTCCTCCTCCTTTCGATTCCTCCGATTCGGTTCGATTAGATGGCGATGCCTTCCGATCCCGATCCGATTCGACTTCGGATTCCGATCTGGATTCAGATTTCTCGATGGAGGTCCACTAGCTTGCCGATCTCAGATCTCCGCCGCTTCGGCTTCTCCCGACTCGGCTTCCGATCTTCGCCGATGCGATTCATGCCGATCGCCGATCCGACTTATCGATTCGATTCTGGGCTCTCCTGCCCGCCGGGGAGGGGTGCGATGAGGGGGTCCGCCGCTGGCGGAGAGACTTTCCTCGAGCGGGCAGCCCTGCCGGTGCCTCCGGCGCCGCTCCTGGCGCGTTCCGCGCGCCAGGGAGGGGGTCAGCGCAGATTCAAGAATCCCGCGCAGACTTCCAACAGTTTATGTCTATGCAGTGTTTTCTTCCTGTACTTCCACGGATGTGGGGCCCACGTGGCAGGGGTTCAGCGCTGAGCGAAGAAAACAAGCGGGTTCAACTGCGCCGACATTCCCGTGTAATCCTGCCGCGTAAGGGCGCGCGGAAGCTTTCTCGCTTCCGATGCGGCGTGCCGCGCCTGCTGCCCGCGTGAGCGCGCAAGGTCGCTGTGCCATGTCGCGTCATGCCCGGTTTTTTCGTCGCTCGTCTGGACCCTCTGGCCGGTCCAGCGTGGGGCGCCACATGGAGCCGACCCCCCTCCCTTCCCTCCGCCGCCCTGGGCTTGGGAGCTGCTGCTCGCGGGCGATGTTTCTCCCCCAATCCCCGAGTTTCGCCCGAAAAGTCTGGCCGCTCAGAAGAATGGGAAAACCCTGGGATACACCCCAAGGGGGCTATTCGGACGCACCCTATCGAGAATGGACACCCCCCCATCGTATATCCCAGGGTTAGGCCCCAAATTTCTGGTCCATTCGGAAACCCCACGAAGCCTGGGATAGGGGTCGACATATCCCCTGTTAGCTGCGAGGACAGCCCGTGCTCGGGACGCGGCTTCTTCTGGCTCCCCAGGTGGGGGTGTGGGGTGGCGTGTTCCCCATCCCGCCGTGCACGTCGCCGGCCACTCTGTTCTGCATCGGCTTCTTCTCCGCGGGCGTGCCGAGGAGGCTGCGCTTCAACGTGCCGATGGCCAGCATCGCCATAGTTCTCAACGAGCTGGTCGCGCGCGAGGGGGAGCGTGTGCGAGGGAGGAGGTGAGGAGGGATGAGGGGAGGGAGAGGATGGGAGAAGT